CAGCCCCCCTAATCCCTGGATGTCGTGCAAGATCAAGGAACACATTATCGCATGCGTTGTTAAAGCATAAGATTCGATCGAGGTGTCAGTATGACAAAAGTGTTACTACCTTTGGCGAGTTCACCAAGGTTCATGATGAGCAGAACGTCTTCCTGCAAAGGGACAACGCTGACGCCGAAGCGGTGGAAGCGGAAGTGTGCTGCCTATTGAAAAATAATCATATCGCAGATGCGTCTGTCGCATTTCATGTCGCGGAAAGGCATTGTCGCCGCAACTGGCGCATTTGCGGTCGAACTCCTGCAACAGTGGAAGTGATGATCTCGCTGCGGGGATTGCCACATGCCTGCTTTGCATCACCGATTCCCAATTGAACTGTGCTCTCGCCGCAGCGCTGAACGTGGTCCTCTATCAACAAAAACGATGCTCACACTGCAACGTTTACAACATTGGCTTCCATAGAGCTTCCGTCCATCTGATCGGTGTGTTTGCAACGGCGATGACCGCTCCCTGCATGAGCTCTGTGTCTCCCCCTAACGGCGGCTCTTGCGCGTGGCGCTTCGCTTTGCAAAATCAGGCGTCGGGCAGAACCGTGGGGATCAATGACCTACCTGCACGGCACCCAGCTGTAGGAACAGAAAGCCTTTACACGCATTGGGAAGGAGTTGGGGGGAAGGGGCGGACGTCGGATCTTGCGCGAGCGCACCCCTCTCGGCCTACAACTAAACATTCACTTCTCCCCTGACCCTGTCCGGAAGATAGATGCTCGGCCCTCTCCGCGTGTCTTCCTCGAAGAATGTCCAACGTTAAGTTCCCCCTGCCGGTCTGTTACGCTCCAGCTGTTTGCAGCAGCGTTTCAAAATCTTCTCCCGCTGCAGCGTGGGCCTGATGCTCGGATCGGTCCGTTGCGCCCGTTGCTCACAGTAGCGATGTCGCCCCAGCACGGGCCCCTTCTCTGGGTCCGAGTCCTCCTCGATCGTCGTCGCCGTCCCCATGTATCCCTCCTCTGGCTTCCTCTGGTCTCCCTGCTCCTCCCGCTCCGCCCACTCTAACTCTTGTTGGTGCTGTTTCTCATCGTCCTCCTCCGTCTTCATTCGCCTCGTGCTCCTCCTGCTCGTTCTCCTGCTCATCCGCCACCTTTTCCTCAAATCTACGGCACTCCTTTGACCGATTGCGCATGCCACGATAAGGGTCTCTTCTCCGGAACTCCCTGTCCGCTATGACACGCGACAGCGGATAGAGAAAACACAGTGCAATGACAAGGGATGGGTGGGTGGGGTAGGATGTCAGATATGCCGCGAGCGCAACTAGCTTGCCCCTCCCCCCTCCTCCTCCGCATCCCCGTCCCTACCCTCGGTGCCACTGCCGTCCCCGCCCGTTCGCTTCTCCCGCTCCCCTGCGACGTCCTGCTGCGAGCTCGCGTCGCCATCATCTCGGCCCTGGTTCCTGACACCGCGTGGCTCGTCCAACCTCGAACGGCCACCACCCTCCCATGGCGCAGATCTTGCGATGTCGAAAGACCGTCGTCGTCGGCGTCGTCTTCGTCTTCGTCGTCGTCGTCGTCGTCGTCGTCGTCGTCATCGGGGTCGTCGTCGTCGTCGTCGTCGTCGTCGTCGTCCTCGGCGTCGTCGTCGTCGTCGTCACTCGTGTCGTCGTCGTCGTCGTCGTCGTCGTCGTCGTCGTCGTCGTCGTCGTCGTCGTCGTCGTCGTCGTCGTCGTCGTCGTCAGCGTCGTCGTTGTCGTCGTCGTCGTCGTCGTCGTCGACCGCGCCGTGGCCGCCGCCGCGCCGACGCGGCGCGGCCCTGCCGCATCGATCCCGCTGCCCCGTGCCCCTCCCTCCCTTCGGGGCCCCCAGATCGTGCGGTGGCGGACCGCGTGGTGGCCTCGGAACCCACACAACGACCTCACCGCGCGAACCCGTCACTGCGCTGTTTTCCGGACCCGGGGTGAGGGCTCGACCAATCGGGTCGGGCGAAAGGGGGGGATAGCAAAGGGGGGGTTTGAGAATCAGCTCACGTAGCTGATTTTCCTGGCGCCTCCCGGCGCAGGAGGCGGCTATGTATCAAGGAATGGGCCCCTCGGTGGGGCCGAAACCAGCTGCTTGGAGCAGATTTCGTGCCCCCCCTTTCCCCATCCCCCCCTTTCCTTCGGCCCGAACCAAGACAGGGTCGTTCGTGTTTGTGTTGTGTTCGTTCTCCCTCGTTCTGTCTCCAGTCCGCCTTCGCTGCAACGTGAAGCGTAAACGACCACGGCCCAGGAAATCACCAATACGCCGAGTAGGCCGGCCCCTGCCCTGGAGGCCCCCGTCGCCCGAGGCGTCCTCGGAGAACGACCCGAGGCCCAAAGTCGTGCGGTGACCCCGCGCCTCCACCGAGCTCCACGCGGCGCGGTCACCACACCAACCTCGAGGTTCCAGACCATCCCTCCTGCGAGGTCCGAAAGGGGGGAGGGGGGGTGGTCCGAGATCCGCCCCACTCCCCACCACCGCAGCACAGCTGCTCCTCCCCGTCCTCGCCCCGCGACTGCCTGAAGCCCCCCCCCCCCCCCACCGCCACCGCACCTCGCAGCTCGGGGCACTGCCCCTGCCCGCGTCACCCTCGTTCCCCCATCCCTGCTCCTCCCCCCGACTCCTCCCCATGTGAGCCGCCGTCACTCTCCACCACCTCCTCCCTGCCTCATATCCTCCTCCTCATCCTCCTCTTCCTCCTCCTCTTCTTCTTATGCTTCTTCTTCGTCTTCTCCGTGCTCCTCCTCCTGCTCCTCCTCCTCCTCCTGCTGCTCCTCCTCCTCCTCCTCCTCCTCCTCCTCCTCCTCCCTTGTCTTCTCGCTACTCCTCCCTGCTATCCACGCTCCTCTACTCGATCCTCCCCTCGCACCTGTCCTCGATCCTCCTCCACCTTCTGGCATCCTTATCATCCTCATCGTGTCTACCGGCAGTATCGTCCCTCTCCTCAGCCCCCTGAAATAACCCCCGAACCCCCTAGAAGCCTGCAGCATCGAGCAACCATTGAAACGCTCCTCCTCCTCCTCCTCCTCCTCCTCCTCCTCTTCCACCTTCGCCACCCTCCGACATTCCTCCTCTTCGCTGGGCTTGCCGCCTACACCCGTCCCGTCCGCCACGCCTGGCTCGAACTCGACGGGATCTGGAAAGAGTGCGCCTGGACCAGGCCGATCCGCGAGCCGCACTTCAGCAGCGACAGCCTCGAGCGGGACGGGGCGATCATGCTGAGTCGCCAGAGCCTCCCATCCACTCCCCTTCCCCTTCCCGACTTATCCCTGTCCATGTCCCCCGTGGTTGATGAGTGCGTGTGTGTGTGTGTGTGTGTGTCAGTGGGTGAGTGAGTGGGTGGGTGCGTGTGTGCGTGTGTGTGAGTGTGTGAGTGCGTGAGTGGGTGAGTGAGTGGGTGAGTGAGTGTGGTGTGAGTGATGATGTGTGTGAGTGATTGAGTCAATGAGTGCGCGATTCGAGAAGTGGAGAGGGTGTGTTCCCTTGTTCCTGCGCGGGGTGTCCAGAGAAAACAATAAACCCACTTTGGATGTGGGAAACACAACGATCGTTACAGTGGGGACGCGGCCACAAGAAACCCTCGGAGGAAACCGAACCCTGAAAATCCAAACAGTCTCTTGCCCAGGGCCTGGGTCTCTCAGCCGAGGGCTCCAATCGGAGAAACCCAGGGTGCCCTGGCCCAAGAAGTTTCTTCCTGGGGCGTGATCAGGAAATGCGCGGTGCGATTGGGGGGAAGAACCCAGTGAACCCTGAGGCGCAGCAGTGATGTAACGATCGGGGCAAGTCGCCGCGGGCCGCTGGGAACGACGAAGCCCCAGGCCCCCTGACGAAATCCATATGGCTCCTTGGTGTTCGCACGCTTTGTATCATTAGGACCGTTGTTGGTGTTGTCGTTGTCGCTACCCGCCGGTCGGAAAAAGTGGGTAGAAACATGAAGTACGAAGGCGTTGGAAGTGATTGGGCTTCCGCCCGCTCCCTGAAGAGGATGGTGGAGGGAATACCGTTCCACTCTTGATGTCGGAAGGCAGATAAAATAGTTTGGAACCTGGAGATCCAAATATACTTACTTTCAACGACCGACGACTTGACGAGCAGACAACACACACACACACCTATACCCATAGGTGGGGCGGGGAAGGCAATGGCTGCGTGTTGTCGGGTGGGGACCCCCGCTCTAACGGGAGCCTCCCGTGGGGTCCGGCAACCCGCACCCATACCCATAGCCAGTCCTTCTCCGACCGACTTCCATATGGGTATGGGCGTGTTGTTCGTTCGTCACGAGTGCTGGTGTCGTTGCGATCGCAGTCCAACTCCAGAGGACAGTCGGGCTGGGCAAAAGGGAGGGATAGCAAGGGGGGGGCGGGGGAGAATCAGCTCGCGTAGCTGATTTTCCCGGCGCCTTCCGGCGCCGGGAGGCGCCCATGTATCGAGGAATGGGCCCGGCGGCGGGGCCGAAACCAGCTGCATGCAGCAGATGTCGTAACCCCCCCCTTCCCAATCCCCCCCTTTTCGTCCGGCCCAGGACAGGCTGCGGGGCAGGAAACCCTGCCCCGCGCGGGGGGGACCCGGGGCAAGAGGGCGCCGGACGGGCCTCTTCGTGGCGGCCCCACACACCTCCTGAGCGCGCGGGGGGGGGGCGGCGCGCCGGATCCGAGGCGGGGAAAAGCGGGGAGGGGGAGGAAGAGGAGACGAATGAAAAGCAGGAGGAGAACGAGGCAAGAGCAACACCGCTTTCATGTGGGGGGGTGATCGTCTCTGGGCCTCGGCAAGTGCCACGACCGAGGCGGGCAATGCCAACACGGCCGAAGGAACGAGATCGCCCGCCGCCCGCCCGTCCTGACAGGGGACCACTGTGGTTGAAATGCTGACCGCTTGAATACCCAGCGAGCGAAGCTTATCAAGCGACCCCCTGCCGTCCGAATGGGAATATAACAGCAACACCAAGAACCGGGTCCGTCGTGGAATACAGCTCGAGATTGCTCTTGCCCCTGCAAGT